TTAACATTGGAAATGTTTCAGAAACAAATATGTATAATTTAACACTGTGTAACAAATATTCGGTTTCGACCGCTGGGCGCAGGTATGATCCGATCGGAATTATTTTGGCTACATTGCAGCTATTTTTATAAAACCCTGTCGATGGGCTTTATAAGTAAACCGACTGCGAAAACTAAGCGTTCCAATGTACATAGGGTAGGGGGTGAAGTTGTAACAATGTCTTGGTAACGAGTTATTGATATGTCTATAAAGATATGTAGTTGGGGTGGCTGTAGCGTTTTCGGCGATTTCCAGAGAAGTGTTTTGTGATTCTGACGGTAGGTGGTGGAAATATATACAGGGTGACATCTTTTATAGTTTTTTAGGTTTTGGAACTACAAGACGACTCTTAATTTTCAGCAATTTACAACAGATTTCAAAAATAAATTTGAGTTTATTTTACAGTTGTCAGTTAAATTGTCATTTGTCAGTGTTTGTATAAATACATACATAAATAAATAAATTTTATTTTATCCATGATTACGTTAATTTTGATCGTGTAAGAAATTTGCTTGGTAGCGAAATCTGTATTTTTTTTGTTTATAATTAATTAAAATATTAAAAAAGAGGCAATGATTTTTTAGGAAAAGCTCAAATAGAAAAATTTTATATTCAATTTAGTTTAATTTGAGAAATTTAATTCTTAGGAAAATTGCTGATGAAAAGTAGTAATATTAGCACTCATCACATTTCCATATAATCAACAACGATCATGTTCCTTACTTTATCCACGTCATGTCATTTGCTGTAACAATTGTACCGAACATGACAAGCTTTGGGATGAGCTCGATCACATATTTTCTAAACGAATCGAATACATAGCCTTCGCCCTCGTAGATCAGTATCAGATTACAGCAAACTACAGAGCAGGTGCGGTATTGGACAGTAATCCTGACTGACATGAACTTAATATTCGTAACTATGCAGTAATTCATTCCTTTGGTCGGCGAGCCATTGCCTTTCCAATGATAATAATGGAGGCTAGCTGATAATATGGGAACTGTCTGTAATACTGATAATATTGATACATTTATATCAATTATAGAGGAAAAATGTATCGATAGGTACTAACGGTATAAATATTTAATTCAATGTCTAACTAAATGGTGACAAGATATCTATCTTATAGTCACAAGATGTTGCCTCGATGTCCATTTTGTAGCTGAATTATGTTATTTTGTACATACTTAATTAAATTTGTTACATGTGCAAATGACATATAACAAGTTAAAAAATATTTTATGTTGACGGGTTTGAATTTTACGTGATTTCTTTTATATCTGAGTTCTTATTCTCAGAAAAAATGTTTTCTAAGTAATTTACAGCCTTCCTTAAATCAGTAGATTTATTGTGACACTAGTATAAAAATGTAAGGGGAACTTGATTTATTATGTACAAATAGAAACTCCTATATTATAATAAATCGTGCGGTTGAATATTTAACGCTTGTTTTACCAGTTTTTCATGCAGTGATTAGAATATCTATTAACTGGCAATTTAACAAATTGATTGATATATTTTAGAAACACTCTGATAATAAACTACTAAAAATGTTAAATTTATTACTAAAAACGATGTTTATTTTATTTAAAATGCGACATGTACATATACTCATTAAACTAGCATTATCAATTTTGTTTCAAATCTTAGGAAGCAGATAAAAATTCCGGGCTTATAGATAACAACAAAAATTTTAGCTGTTGTACAATTAGTTGTATCCAAATTAAAATAAATTAAAAGTGAACAGCGATAGAAATACGCTAACAAAAATGTATAATGCTAGTTTAAAAAAGATAGATTAGGATTAAATTAAAACAAAACGAAATAAATAATAACGCATTTTATTAATAGGTAATAAATATTAATAATGTACACCTTGGAAGGTATGTGTAAGTTGTGTAGCCAAAAACTTCCAAGTCTCTTAAATCTAGCTTCAAATTTGACCAAATTTCATGAGGTGGTTTGTTGCTCATAACAATAGTTTTGAGTAGATCAACATGAACGTAACAATACTCAATTGTATTTTGATGAATTTAATTTGCAGCGCAAAAATCAGAAACCGGTTTATTGATGAATTGTTCGTCATCGTCCGATCTGACAATGAGAAAGCAAATTTTCTTACTATCTCATTCTCGATCTTCACTTTGGACTATTTAAAGTACGCTAGAAGTTTGTCTTTCTTCTTGAGAAAATAAACGAAGGCGAAAAAAGCCTTATTATTGGTGAGACTCATGAAATATCGCTTTCTCATTAATGGAATCTTTACAATAACAATCGAAATCACTTTTGATTGTTATTGTACAGTGCGTTGTTTTGCCGTAAACTCATTTCAACTTTGAGCTTTCATATCTCGATGACGATTCATCGTATCCACAAGATCAAAAGTGGATTTTGTTCGTCAATCCTTCCTCTATTTGATCCTATAATTACATTTGAAGAATATGCAAATACGGTAGCTCCAGCTCTAAATGTTTATAAATATTTTTTCGAAGAAATTTTGAAAAAATTCTAATTGTTGCTAAAATGGATAAAATCGAAAATTTTTTAAATGGGGATTTGATGACTGCAAAGGGTATGTATAAAAATTAGGAGCTCAAAATAATCATTGGTCTTACCGTGAGAAAGAATTGAAAAATCCGTATGATTCTATATTTTCTTAAGGTGGCCATATCCCTGACCGAGAAATAATCAAATTTTTGTATAAGTCAAGGTCCGAAATAAATTCATGAAGAAAACATCTTTTTTCACGAATTTTTTTTCGGTCTATACTGTATTGTAGCAACAATAATGCACATAAAAATTCACTTTTATTTTGAAGAGAACCTCAAAATGAAACTTTTTTCCTTTGACTATTTTCTCTAATGTCAATATTCTCCGAGTTATACATGAAAGAAGGGAGAAAAATGTGCCTTTTTTATTTTTTTTACATTTTCTTGCGCTAAGAATTATGCATAACTTTTTCAGCGGGCGCATATCGCAATTATCATTTTACATAATATTTCCAACAAAAATTAGCGTTACTGTATAAAACATCCATCCCGAAACAGATACTGACTGGACTACTAGACATACCCTTACTTTGTACTTACCTTTACCAATATTTTAAAATTTTCGTCTTTACATTTTACTTGTAACGGTCACAACCATTTCCAGAGGGAGGTAGACATGTTTTGTACTAAAGCAAACAAGATAAATAATATTGCTTTATTTAGCATTTAACATTTTACACAATTAGGCTGATTGTTGGTTTGTACTTTCTTGTATTCTGTTTGTTGTTTCTATAAAGTTTTGTACATAGTTCCGATTCTGTAAATGGTCTTTGTGCTGTTGGATGGTGCAATTTTAAAATGAATAAAATAAAATAAATTAAAATACAATTTTAAAGCTTAAAACAAGTTTTTAAGCAAAATTTATAGGACGTTAATTTGAAACGGATACCTGACGTCTGATTTTTTACAAACCATAGTGAACCCCTGGCATCGGCGCCGCTGGCCGACCGCCCGGCACCGACTATTAGCCCAGCCAGCTTTATAGGGTGTCATAACGGGCCGGGGAGAGAACGAACCCACCGCTTTTACGATTCGCACTAAATCCGAGGTGTATGGCGGACGTTCAAGGTAATTTTCTTTCGGGTTTGAATTACTGGGAATAGTTGGAGTGTGAATTACGACATGAAGCGATTTCGCAGTCGACCATGGGTGAAATTCGGTCTCGCGTCCCAGGCATGGTAAGCCCGCTTTAATTTGCCTCGTATACCTGAAACGACGTCGGCTACGTCCGCGCGTCTGCTCGTCCGTAATATATTCACGCCGGCGACGGCTACGTGAAAGAGTTTTACGAGAGGCTGTTACTTTAACGCCAGGGGTGTTCGATTTCTAAGCAAGGATCTCGGCTTCAAAGTGGGTAAAATGAAGCACTACAACGTACACGGTGGTTGGAGGATAGCAAAGCTTTCATAAATGATTACAAGCCAGGTGACCAGTAATTTCGTTTGGAACAGTAATTTTATTTCCTTCAAGTTGGCAATTAAATTTCGAAAAAATTAAAACAACAAGATCAAGATTACATTAAAGCGCGACATGCTGTTTCACCGGGAGAGTGATTTTATTAAACCAACCAGCTTGCAGCCAGATTTGTCATTGGTCATTGGAAACGAATCGTTAATATTGATTACGACAAGATTTAGGGATTTTAGATTGGCAGTACCAACGGTGCATTGTTGGTTGCCTAAGCTCAGTGGTCCGTAATATTTTTTAAAATGTTTCTTCTTGCCTTTGCCATTTAGAACGAAAACTTATAAAGAATATTCTCCTACTATACTGGATCTATCATTAAATCCGCTAATAATTCCTTTATCTACATCTCTGACGCTTTCTTTTTCCTCTTAAGTTTCAGTTTCCGCACCTTCACTTTCACTTCTTAAAAATAAATACTTTTTAATTTATTTTTCTGACACAAATATTTAAAATAAATTCTATTGCTCAAAACCATTTTCAAACATTACGTCACAACACTAGTGATGTAAATGGTAAATTGATAAATTGTTACTTACATAAATTACTGTAAAATTACCGTAATATTACGCACCGCGAGATAACGGATGTAATTTATGTAATTTATGTAATTTTTGTAACTTACGTAAATTACGTAATTTACTGTAATTAATGTTAATTTACACTTAATTTTAAATATCGCGCCAATTTCAATTTTGATATTTAAGGTTTTATAACCTTTATCTTATTCTTACTTTGATTGTTGTATTGTATTGTTGAGTGTGTTGAGCTGTTGAGTGTTGTTAAGACGTCTGTGTGGAGTGTGCAGTATACCTTACCCTGTTATTAGACTATTAAGTTGTTAAACTGTAATCCAGGCTCAGGTATCCGGGTAAGTTATACAAAACAACGTAATAATAATAACCTTCTTTACTAAATCAAATTTGTAGTAATAATTAACTAATAGCAATGGTTAAATCCAAATCACAAATATGGCATTATTACGAGGAGTCCTTAACAGAAACCAAGAAAACCTCTTGCGTTAAATGTAAATTTTGCAAAAAGGAATACGCAAAAAATGCCACACGAATGAGGTCTCATTTAGCACATTGCGCTCATGTACCGGATTTGGTGAAATCAAAATTCAGAAATCATAATCATGAATTGCCTCTACGGGTGGTGAATGAGAATCATGCACCCATTCAGTCAAAATCAGAAAATAAAATTGATACGGGTGCTGTTAAAAATAATTCCATCATATCGGGTGATTTGTTAAATACTCCAAAATCTTGCGCTTCTTTGGCCACGACTACGAACTGCAGCAGTTCCAACAATACTATGGCGACTTTTTTTGATAAAATGAAAGAGGATGAGCATAATCAATTACAGGTTTTATTTGCCCGTACTATAAGTAGCACTCCATTTTCAATTGTCAAAAATAGGGAATGGCAAACGTTTTTTGAAAAAATCAGGCCATCATTTGTATTGCCTACAAGATATTTACTCGCTAATCGTTTATTAAATGAAGAATTTGATCGAGTACAAGTGCAAGTACAGGAAAAGTTGGGACAATCGGAAAATTTATCGTTGCAATGCGACGGGTGGTCTAATTTGAGAAATGAAAGCGTAATAAATTTTGTCGTAACAACGCCTAATCCTCTATTTGTTAAAACTGTTTTAACAAAAACTGAAAGACATACTGCTGATTATTTAGAAAGCATAATTACAGACGTTTTAGAAGCATATGATCCCAAAAAATTCATGGCAATAGTTACTGACAATGCCAAAAACATGATAAAAGCAACAAAACAGTGCGCAGCAAAATATCCCCACCTAATTTCGTACGGTTGTTTGGCACATACTTTACACCTTCTGTGTAACGATGTATTAAAATTAGGATCTGTTGACAAGCAATTATCCGATATTAAACATATAGTGAAGACCATAAGCTCTAGTCAGCTATTATGTGCCAAATTAACAGAGATAAAAAAAGAAGTGAAAGTTACAGCTTCTCTAAGTTTACCGGTAAAAACTAGATGGGGATCTCATGTTAAATGCTTACAGGACTTATTAAAATGCAAGTTTGTTTTGCAAAGGCTAAGCATTTGTGAAGATCCAGTTATCCAGGAAAAAATGCGCTGTCTGAAAATAAGCATATTAGATGAAGAGTTTTGGAACAACACAGATATGCTTATAAAACTTTTGAAACCAATAACGCAAGCAATAACCTACCTAGAAGGGGATAGTCCTGCGATTTATTCGGTATGTCAGACATTTAAGGATATTGGGATAAGTTTTTCTGCTAACTTAGAATTTGCCAATTTAACAGACATTGAAAAAGATCAAGCAAAACAAAAATTTCTAGATAGGAAGGAGTATGCCATAAAACCTATACATTTGGCAGCAGACTTATTGAACCCTCGATCGATGGGTTCAAATCTATTACCAAATCAAAGAATAGCCGCCATGAAATTTATAAGCGACTTGGCAAAAGAAATGGATTTAACAAGCACTACTATGACAGACTTAGGTAACTATTTGGCCTAAGCAGATTTTTTCTGCCAAAGCAGAATCTTTTCTGTGGGAAGTATTACATGAAACAAATGTTATAACATGGTGGAAAGGATTTTGTGGACACACTTTCCTTTCAAAAATTGACGTAAGAATATTAACAATGCCGTGCACATCAGCTGCAACAGAAAGAAGTTTTAGTTCACAGAGTAACATTCATACAAAAAAACGGAACAAACTCACTGCAGAAAGAGCTGCAAAACTTAATTATATCTATCACAACATAAAGTTATTACGACCCAGTCAAAATAAAACCACTGCTATACCTCTAAAAAATAGAGAAGTAGACAAAGTGGCTACACAGGTTACGGAAACGGAGCAGACAATAGATTTAAGTGATTCTTCTTTTGTCGATTATGAGATAGACATATCCGATCACGACAATATTTACTCAGAAGAAAAAGACGTGCAACACCCAGATATTCCTAACGATTCAGATTCAGATGATGTAAGTCCTTTGTGTGATTGTTATTTTAATATTTCATATATCTAATTTTTCAGAAGTTGCCATGGAATTCCAATGAGGATCAGGACCGTGTTATTGTTATACAAAATATTGCACTTGAATAAAATTTATTTTTTGCATAAAAATCGACAAATATTATTTTTTTAATCATTGAATTGCAGGACTAGTTTTATAGAAGTTGAGTACTGAGAAGCTAAACAAGCTGAGTACACTTTAAAATGTCGTAAAATTTAAATGTCATAAATTACATAAATTACATAAATTACAAGCTAATTTGTAACTTACATGAAATGTTACCAGTAAAATTACATTTCCATAAATTACAAGTAATTTAACATCACTACACAACACTAATCTTTGACCTTGAAATCGAGGCCGACTGACGGCCAGAATCGGGTTCTGACGGCCTCGAAATTTTTTCCACCGGACGACTTCATTCGACCCTGAAATCAAAGTCGAGTGACGGGGGGAGAAGGTCCTAGAACCGGCCATCTCCCTCTACTCCTGCTTTTCACTTATGCTTTTTGTACTTGTATACTAATGAATGATATCAGTCTCACAGAAAAAGTTGTCTGCATTGTAAAGCAAACGATGCCATTCTTACATATTTTCGATCATTGAAACCGAATCTAACTTTTATTTTAACGCTATATGTGAGGATCTTTCGTAAGTCGTTAAGAGGGCTCTATAGCAAATAGGCAACCAGCAATACATTTTTATAAATAGGAGCCTTTCTCCCATTCTAACTAAGATTTTCTATAAAATGGACTTACTTTTTGGTGTAAAGAAATTTGTAATTTATGATGCCGCTTGTTTAAAAGCGGCAAATTACAAGTTTCTTTACAACAAAATGTAGTTTGAGTTTCAGACTAAGTTCATTTTATAGAAAATCTGCGGTAGAATGGGAGAAAGTCGGTTATTTGTGCATTAATTCATATTTAGGCAAATTGTGTAATAAAATCTATAAAAATGTATTACTGGTTGCCTATTTGCTATAGAGCTGTCTTAATGTATATTATTATGTAATTTGGTGATTGGTAGCGGTGTATTTATTATTTTGATATTTATTTATTTATTTTTATTATATTATAATTATTATTAATTTGGTGATTAATTTTGTTTCTGGTGTGTAAATTTTGTGTGTGTATAAGAATTAATTATCTGTTTGGGCGCCTTTTTCTATGTAAAATGTCATTTGGGTGTATTTATATCTAATTTTCCATTGAGTGTAGGTTCTGATAAGAAATTTTAATAATAACAATGACAAACATAGACGAACTAGACTTTCTTACCTTATCATTGCTAACATCGCCTCCGGCAGCTTTACTTTGTATAAATAATCACAGTGTAGACAGGATTTTATTAGTGTAAATAGGAATGTTCATTTTCTATACTGTCCCTCAAGAAAAAACACTTTATTTTATAGGGGCGGTTCTATGCTCTTTTAATTAACCTTTACTATTTAATTTTGGGTAAGAAACATTGAATAAAAGCAAAATTGGAAATATTTACACAAGATGACATTTATTACTTATTTATCTTTCAATTTCGAACAATATTTTTATGAACACAGAAACTAGAATATTTTTTTATATACTTTTACATGAATAATTGTCTGAAAAATGCCTTATTCTACCTATCATAATTGAGAAAATGTTTGGTTAACCAATTATCATTATTTTAAACGTTTTTCAAAACAAATCAACTTATACTACGAACATTTGAAATTAAACTAATACTTAAATTATAGAATGTTCAAAAATGTCAATTTAAATTTTAATCACTGACATTGTTTATAGTTTGAAACGGGTTTTGTATTTCACAAATAGCTTTTATAGTTCGAATTTGCAACACTTTATGGCATGGAGAAAACTCTTATGCAACTGGACTTACTTGGTTTCGTTCTGCCTGGCAATTTGCGGTCGTCTCTATAACCTCACTTTATTGTTGTCGTTTGTCTGCTATTCTCGTGCGTTGAAGATGGCTGTTGGGTCTGTGTATAGTGCTTCCTGGTGTTTTAGATGTTGTTTTGGGGAGCCACAGGACAACATGCACCCCTCACCAGTCTCTCAAATCTCCTCCTTTCTTCACCTCTCTGCAGCTTGTTGACTTCCCACGATGTTTTTTTGTTTTTCCGGTACCAGGTAAATTCACTGATTTGGCCTATTGCCATTGGTTGCTCGTATCCATGTTATCATTTTCTAACTGCGCAATTTCTCCAGCATATTGCGATTAATTTGATTTTAATTAACTTACGGCGTAATTTATATTTTATAACTGCGTAGTAGATTTTATACGTCTTAATACTAATTTACAAGAAATTTTTATATGATATTTTGCATGACAAATTTTTTTTAAGAAACTTCTAGCCTATGTGTTTCTGATGTTATAATATTTGAACTTTCTTTTGTACTAGATTATTTAACATTAATTTACTCATAAAATCTCTAAATTGGCCGTTCTTGTGGCATTTTCTTTTACTTTAATGCTTCTTCTTCGTACCCAAAATTTATTTTCTTGACATGCTTATCATTCAAACGTATTATTTAAAATTTTGACTGATAATGTTTTAGGTTTATATGAAATAACTATGAAATGAGCTTTTTATTTTACTTTAAAAGTACTTTATGTCTTTATTTTATTCTGCATTATAATTTCATGAAAATTTTCTATGCTATTTCTCGGTGTTGTGTCTTGAGATACAGTGTGTTCATTTCAATATTTATATCTAGAAAAGGCCTCAGTAGTTGATTCCAAGGTTCCACATCCATTCAACTCCAAACCATCGACTGCAAATAGTAATGGTAGGTATTTCAGCTGCCTTTCTCACAAACTCTGTAACCTTGAAACCCCCAAACCTCAACCCCGATAACAACAAAATTCTACAACCATGTAATACCATAAGCCTGAGAAATCAAGTGGGCGTGTCAATTATGTCCTCGATGGGTTTCAAATCCTTGAAATAGAAAAATCATTAACTCTATTACTCTTATGAGAAACCACTATAACTTCTTGACCCCAGTAACATCATAACCCTATAAAACTGAGAATTAAGTGAACATGACGAAGGATTTCTAATAATCGCGATATTTACGGTTGACTAGCTTGAAACCAAGACTCAAGTAACTTCTTTATCAGAAATTACCATAACCTCATAAAACTAAGAGACTGGGAAGACAGTGAACTGTTTAAGGTTCCTTCGTCTTGTTCAGTGCATTCCCAGTTTTGTAAGATTATAGGGTTCTTGGTTTTATGAAGTTATTGCGATTTCTGATAAAGGGTTACGGAGTTATAGTCTTACTAAAGTCTTGGTTCCATGGTCACTCATAAATAATATAAATATCTATATCATCCTGTTAACGTCATACCCAGTTTCATAGAGTTATGGGGTTATTAGGCTCATGGTGGTTTTTGATAAAGGGTTACTAAGTTCCCCATTCCAAAGTTTGGAAACCATCAAGTTCGTCATTAGATACGAGCTTCCTCGTATTCTCAGGCTTATACATTTTTGTAGATTTAAACTTAATATGTTCTGATTTCTTGACTTTGATTTATGCAGCGTTCCGTTTCTTCTCCGTTTAAGGTACACCAATCTGCTTCTTCTATGCCTATCGTTTACAACTTACCTTTAAATTATTTTTTATAGTTTAGGAACATCCAACATTGCTTTATATAGACGTAGCCGCAGAAAATACATACACTATGATCGTTAGGTACATAAATAAAAAAGAATTGTGCAAATTTTCATTCAAAATTAACAAAATTTATTGGTAAAACGACTCTACGCCCAATTGTGTAAAAGTAATAACGCTATTTGGTGAGTAATGTTCACTAATTGCTACAAATCTACCATTAGATTTTAATTAGTTTGCAATAAAATGGTATCGTAAAATCATTTGATAAGATTGAACGTTTTTCAATTTCGGTTATAGAGCATTCAATTTAATTTGCAAGTCTTTAGGGTTTTATGCTCCTCTTCGCGTCGCTGCAGTTTACAGCCAGACAAAAAGTCGTTTATTATCAGCGGTGATATCACAATACCCTCATGATTTTATGGATAAACTTTTATTTTGTACAAAGTCTCCGTTATTTAACAACGACATAAAAACTAACCACGTAAAGTCCGTAGAGTCTGAAATAAAAATTTATCTAGCGGAAATTGGAAAGATTTACCGAATATGGTATGGCTGTTTCCTTGAATTAAAGTCGAAAGTGTATTTTTACGGTATTTTATAGTTTTCTGTAAAATGGAAAACGGTCATTAAAATGTCAACCGAAAATCTGAAATATATAAAAGAAGTAGTAATAGAAGTTTCAATATATGTATATTTGCAGCTTTGTTCATATTCATGTGAATTATTCTGGGCGTTTCGAATTTCTGGCCTGTTTTCACTCTCTTGGTTTATGTGTATTGTACCTATGTAAAGTAATTAAGTTAAAGTTTCATTTGCTCAAGTATTTTATTGTTTGAAGTTGTTGTTATTAATTTAGAGGGCCCCACAGTTATCGT